AGCCTCCCAAGTAGCTGGGACTACAGGTGCATGCCACCATGCCCAGCTAATTTTTTGTATTTTTAGTAGAGACGGGTTTCACCATGTTGGCCAGGCTGGGCTCAAACTGCATGCCTAAGCTGATCTGCCTGCCTCGGCCTCCCAAAGTGCTGGGATTACAGGCATAGGCCACTGCATCTGGCCTATAGGCTTTTTTATTTTATTTTATTATTATTTTTTTTTTTGACACAGGGTCTCTCTTGTCCAGGCTGGAAAGCAGTGTCGTGATCATGGCTCACTGCAGCCTTGAACTCCCCAGCTCAAGCTATCCTCCCATCTTACCCCTCCAGGTAGCTGGGACTACAGGCATGTGCCACTATGCCTGGCTAATTTTGGTATTTTTTGTAGCAATGGTGTTTTGTCACATTGCCCAAGCTAGTGTTAAACTCATAGACTCAAGCAATCCTCCCACCTTAGCCTCCCAAAGTCCTGGGATTCCAGGCATGAGCCACTGTGCCCAGCCTATTTATGGTTTAAATGTTTTTAGGGGTTTTTTTCTTGTAAAGCAAACTGTCCATCATCATTAGTGTCACCTCACTTAGTCTCTTTTAAGCCAATATTGGTGAATATCTCAGTACTGGCTTTAAAGATCATACAGTTAGAATTTTTTTTTAATCTGACTGAAAATACATTGCAAATAAATACATAGTAAGGTAATTTTTCAATTTTCAATAGACATCAGTTCACATCTACCCTTAGTAAGCAGTGCCTTTTAAAATCCCTGTCAGATTTAAAAATGGCAATAAACAAAACACTTTATTTTTTATTTCTCCTAATATATTATTTTATCAACAGCTTAGCATATTATATGACAAGGATGTTAAATTGTACTTCTTCACAGTCGATTCTTACTGGGATGTGAAATGAGACTGCAATATAATAGAATTACATTTTTTTAATATCCTTTAATCTTTTACCAATTAAATTATTAATATTAAATAATTTAGAGTGAAGAAAAACATTTTTGGAAATGGGAGTAGTGATGATGGAGTATTATCAAAAGAAAAAGTAATACCTCAGTAGTAGAGAAATTGATAACAAAAAATACAGATTGAAAATGCTAAATAAAATTAATCTTAATCAGAGAAAAAAGAATTTTATATCCTTTAGTTAGTTACAATTGTTCTATAGTCTTAAATTTCAAGTGAATTAAAACTTAACCTTTATGGACACTCATTATCTTATTTTATCCAGAATTTATTGGCTACTATTGGATAAGAAAGCAAAAGGCACTTAGTAATAACTAGAAAAGCCACAATCCAATTAGCCACTAACTTTGATTGATTGATTGATGTTTTTCTATAGGCAAGCTAACTGATATCCATGGGAATGTTCTTCAGTACCACAAGGATGTGAAGCATATGAACTCTGCAGGAGTCCTGGCCACACTGAGAAATTATGACTACTATGCAAGCCGAGTTCCAGAATCTGTTAAAAATGCACTTGTTCCTTAAAAGAAAGTTTCATTTGGCTGGGCACGGTGGCTCATGCCTGTAATCCCAGCACTTTGGGAGGCCGAGGCGGATAGATTGCTTAAGCTCAGGAATTTGAGACCAGCCTCAGCAACATAGTGAGACCCCATCTCTACAAAAATACAAATTAGCTGGGTGTCCTGGTATGCGCCTATAGTCCCAGCTACTTGGGAGGCTGAGGCAGGAGAATCGCGTGAGCCCAGGAGGCAGACATTGCAGTGAGCTAAGAGTGCACCACTGCACTCCAGACTGGGTGACGCAGCAAAAAAAAAAAAAAAAAAAAAAAAAAAAAAAAAAAAAAAAAAAAAAAAAAAAAAAAAAAAAAAAAAAAAACACCAGAAAGGACCAAAAGTTTCATTTACTTAGCTACGAGAAAGACTTAGTTCTCAAAATAATGCATTTTAAAACTAATTGGATAGAATTAGAGTTTGACCTTTATTCATTGTTAAGCAGTGATTTATATTTAGTTATTATATTTAGGAATAGAAAATAGAATTAAATAATTTCACTTGATTTATCAACCAGACCAATTTTGATGTCTGGAGAATTTATAAACTCAATATGTTATATTTGTTTTCCTCTATTTAGGTGGAGAAAAGAGAAAAAGGTTTAGTTCCAATTGACAATTCAGGTCAATTGTTCAATCAGCATTCCTATCTTTTAAACCAGATTTCTTTAGGGCACAATTGTTCCTGGAACCTCACTCTTGTTTTTCCCAGTAATTTAAAACATGTTTCTACTTCAATTAAGAATACATATGTTATTATATATGCTGATGAAACAGATTTATGAGAAAAGATTTTTTAAAAATATTTAATCCTAGCTCTTTGTTATTCACCAGCTTTTTAAAAAAGTGTTTGAAAATTATAAATTCTCTACTTTGGGGATTAGTTTATTTGTTTATTTATTTATTTATTTTGAGATGGAGTCATGCTCTTTCGCCCAGGCTGGAGTGCGGTGGTGTGATCTCGGCTCACTGCAACTTCCGCCTCCCAGGTTCAAGCGATTCTTCAGCCTCAGCCTCCCGTGTAGCTGGGATTACAGGTGTGTGCCATCACACCCAGCTAAGTTTTGTATTTTTGGTATCAAGGTTTCACCACACTGGTCAGGCTGGGCTTAAACTCCTGACCTCGTGATCCGCCCACCTTGGCCTCCCAAGGTGCTGGGATTACAGGCATGAGCTACCGTGGCTGGCCTAGTTTATTTTTATGGCATCATTATAAAGCTTAATTGTGGAAAGCTGAGTACTTATTTCTGTTCCTTCCAATGAGAGATAATAAACTATCAAAATTATTCTGATAATATACCTAGGTTTTAATTTTTAGGTCTCTGTCCATTGCTTTTAATTAAACTTCTCTCTTTTCAAATCAAATAAGTGGTTTAAATTAACAGTTCCCAGGCCTGGCGCAGTGGCTCATGCCTGTAATCCCAGCACTTTGGGAGGCTAAGGCGGGTAGATCATGAGGTCAGGAGTTCAGGACCAGCCTGACCAACATGGTGAAACCCCATCTCTACTAAAAAAATAAAAAATTAGCCAGGCGTAGTGGTGTGCACCTGTAATCCCAGCTACTCAGGAGGCTGAGGCAGGAGAATTGCTTGAACCTGGGAGGCAGAGGTTGCAGTGAACCAAGATCATCCCACTGCACTCCAGCCTGGGCAACAGAGTGAGACTCTGTAAGGAAAAAAAAAAGTTAATTATTTAACAGTTCCCAAACCCAAATGCCTATCAGAATCATCTAGGAAGATTTTTTGAAAATGCAGAATTCACAGGCCAGGCGTGGTGGCTCACGCCTATAATATCAGCACTTTGGGAGGCTGAGGTGGGCAGATCACCTGAGGTTGGGAGTTTGAGACCAGCCTGGCCAACATGGTTAAACCCAATCTCTACTAAAAAAATACAAAAATTAGCCGGGCATGTTGGCGCTTGCCTGTAATTCCAGCTACTAGTGGGGCTGAGGCAGGAGGATTGCTTGAAACTGAGAGGCAGAGGTTGCAATGAGCTGAGATCATGCCATTG